GAGATCCATATCGGAGAAGGGGACCTGCTACCCTGCCGCTGTTAACTGTAGTCATCATAAGGGAGTCTATGACGCGAGAACCCCAAAATGAGCAACCGCGGGGGAATATCGCGGTCGCATGACGAACTTTTCGGCGTAGCACCAGATGCTCACCGACCAGTTCCGAATGTCGGTTGTATCGACACACCATATGATGTTTTACAATCAAGCAGTGGTGGATAGCTGCCCCCCTTTCCCGGTCTGGATATTTGAGAGCAGAGTTTCGCACTCCACCGTGAGATCCATATCGGAGAAGGGGACTTGCTACCCTGCCGCTGTTAACTGTAGTCATCATAAGGGAGTCTATGACGCGAGAACCTCAAAATGAGCAATCACGGGGGAATATCGCGACCGCATGACGAACTTTTTGGCGTAGCACCAGATGCTCACAGACTTGTTCCGAATGTCGGTTGTATCGACTTACCATATGATGTTTTACAAGCAAGCAGTGGTTGGTAGCTGGCCCCCTTTCCCGGTCTGGATCTTTCAGAGCAGAGTTTCGCACTCCACTGTGAGATCTATATCGGAGAATGGGACCTGCTACCCAGCCGCTGTTAATTGTAGTCATCATAAGGGAGTCTATGACGCGAGAACCGCAAAATGAGCAATCGCGGGGGAATATCGCGGCCGCATGACGAACTTTTTGGTGTACCACCAAATGCTTACCGACCAGTCCTGAATGTCGGTTGTATCGACACACCATATGATCTTTTACAAGCAAGCAGTGGTCGATTGCTGGCCCCCCTCTGCAGTGTGGATCTTTGAGAGCAGATTTGACGCAATCCACCGTTAGATCCACATCGGAGAGGCGGACCTGCCATCATGCCGCTGTTCACTGTAATCATCATGTGGGAGTCAACAACGCAATGACCCCACGATGTTCCAATCGGGAGGTGTTTTTGTGTTCTGTGTAGGTGCTGATCATCCTTTGACGAGAAGGAACAAGCTCGGATGGATCCGAGACACAAGATGATATGTCGGACAAGGCAGATTGCAACACCGGCCAGCGTCGCTCATGTCACTTTCGGCCTGGCAGCGGCTGTTGCACAGAGGGCCACGGACATGGCACCACATTTCATGGCATCCAATCCGAAAACCATCGTCGCCCTCGCCGGGGGTGATCACGAGCCTTCGCCGTCGAGAGAAAATGACCCGACGATTTTGCAATCGGGACGTGCTATGTATTCTGCGCGGCTGCTGATCATCGGCCCGTATGCAGCGTATTGACGGAAAGAGGAGTTTCTATCAGCACGCGTCTAGGGAAATAGACGACTTTTTCGGGGATGAGAATGAAAATGCTTGTGCAGCTGGCGACTTCGGATGAATCCGAGACACAAGATGTCATGCTGGACATGCATGATTGCAGCCTCGGCCGACGTCGCTCACATTACTTTCTGCCATGCAGCGGCTGTTGCACAGAGGGCCACGGACACGGGCACCACATTTCTTGGCGTCATATCTGAAAACCATCGCGGACAATTATGAATCATGGCAGTGTCAGACGATCTAGAGGGCGGTGGACTGTTTGGAATTCTCACTTGCCACGAAGGCGTGCAAGAAAATAAACTCGACGGTGTGCTGTTAGCGAGTCACACAAACCGAATCTGACGGGTTGTCGTTCGGCCAAGGATCGTCCTTGGGGAAACCTTCATGCATCGCGTTCAACGTTGGGTGCACCGGCATGTATCTGATTGATAATTCGGATGAATTCGAAACACTTATACAACGCCACCTTCGCAAGTCTGCAGTGCTAGTTCAAATGCCACAACGCCGGTGTCAACTGTAGTCGTCATGAGGGAGTTTCCTTTTCCCTTAAACACAAGGTCTGACCACACGTCCGTATCTTGTGACATACGGGCTTTCCCGCGGACGTGGTCGTGAACGGAAACCATACATAGCATTCATAGATGATCCATACACATGGATCCTCGGCTCGTCGACTGTTGCGTTCTCCGAAAACACGGACATGTATTTCATCGTGACAAACCCTCCTCGTCGTGCTAAGGAATTCCCTATACAGTCACGTATTTCAGATACTTTCTTTTCGACATCATCCCACAATGACAGAAAAAATCTCACCTGACCTGCTCTCACCAAGTCTGACCGCCCATCTACATCTGGGCGAGACATGGCCGCCTTGAACTTGGAACCCTGAAGCAACATCTCGTCGCGTGACACAAGCGCAACTGCATCCACAAGTTTCCTACTTTTGCTTGAAGAAACACTCTGGCGAAAGAACATCCGTCATCCGTCAACCGCACACAACAGTACGACAGAGCTTGTGGAGAAGTCCCTGGGCAACGGGGTGGGTAGTGTTCCAAGAATGAACAATGATGAGCGCAATCCACAAACTCTTGCTTCTGCGAACTTCCCCAAGTTCGTGGCGAAGATGTGATGTACTCGCTGTGGAGGCGACGTCTGAAGCTGGTACGGAAGCGGACCGGTTTACCCTTATCGTCCAGGGTCTTTCGATGGAGGACACCATCAAGCAGTGCAATGAGGCTCCCGAACTCCAACATGTTGGCAAACTTGTAATGGCTTGCCCATGGGCAGGAACGCTCCATCGTCTTCCAGTCATTTTCGTTCCATTCGTCGAGATGCCGGTTCATGTAAGGGACGACGGTCGTCCATAGGTCGTCCACGAAGTCGTCCTCGGTTGCATCGTCGATCCACGTCTGACCGTCATGATGCCGCAACGATCTCGCACAAGGTGGAAAGGGTTTCGCTAAGCGCATGTGCTTCTCGGGTGTCATGGCGATGCTTGTCGAAGGACTCGACGACATTAAACTCCCTACACAACACGAACACATGGAAAGACATACGGAAGACGAGACCGTCGTAAACAATGTTGAAGAACGAGAGTTTCCCCGACGAGGCCCACACCCAGTTGTAACGCCCAACACTTTTTTATCGGCGAAGTCCTTACAGAAGGCCGTCAATCGGAAATCGTCAAAAAAAAAAAAAATTTCCACATCGCGTGGCAAAGCCCTTACAGAAGGTCATCAATCAGAAGTTCACCAGAGCAATGCAGTATTTTCTAAAAGTCATGCAGGGACCCATTCCAGACCAGATGCCTAGTTTCCTAAAATTATCAAAACCAAAGCCATAAAGCACATTGAGACAGACAAAACAGTCGGACGACCCTCGCCGTCGTGTGCAAAACATCCATTTGTATATTCTGGGGGAGTAACGGAACAGCACACCGACGCCGGACAGCCACATTACACCGCCTCATCTACAGAAGACGTTTTCGCACAGTCGACATGACATGTACTTTTCGCAGAGCCATGAAAGCACAAACTCTACCTACCACGATCGTTCTGAATACGAGGTGAACAGAACTGCAAGACAGAAGCTCATCCAAGCCTGCAGCCCTGCCCCGGATCCGAGGTCCGGATCAAAAGACAGAAGCTCATCCAAGCCTACCAATCCGTGGTTCGGATCAATCCCAGCAACCACCCCGGAAAGATAGACATTAAATGGGATGTCGTGCGACCGTCCGTGGCTCGGATTAATCCGAGCCACCGCCCAGCGTCTTCGCCTCATTCGGTGGGATATGGCAGAAGGATGAGACACCCCTGAAATCGAAGGCGGAGCCCGTAGGAAGCAACACGTCCTTTGGGATGTTTGCATTACTGCCCCATGTGCAATAAAACAACTTAGACAAAAGCCAAGAGTGCCATCCCCAGTTCATGAGACCCGCCTGCACGATGTGGCAGACAAATCAGACTCTTTTGCCGTCGAGCTATGAGGTTCGGAGTAATCCGGACCACAACAAAAGGTTTTAGTCAGGCGGTTCCCAGACGTCCCGCGAAATGTTCACATTTCGCCGCTCGGAAGGAAAAATCAACAACAAATGCCATGAGTGCCCACCTACGGATATTATATGTTGCATTCAGGACGCGTGGCGTGTGCCGCCGTTTTCCTTTCTCGATGAGACATTCCGTCACTGGGCGTGATACTCACCTCGGGACTCCCGATGCGATGAGGGGTGTGGTTCGGATTGATCCGAGCTACATCACACGTTTAGGAGTGACGCGAAACTGATAAGTCCGGTGTGAGTGTTGCACTACCCAATGCGGAAGAAATAAACATTGACAAAAGCCACGACTGCCGATCGTCAGTCGTCTGTGGTTGTGGTTCGGATTCATCCGAGTTACAAACGAAGGCAAAAGCAGATGGGGAGCTATCAGAGTCATGATTTGTGGAGATGTTTACTTCGAAAGCGATCCCCTGTGGCGTCGTCGTCCTTTCCACTGAGACATTGGAGGGATGCGGTTCCCGTTGAGACTTCCCACGAGCCGAGGGTTGTGGTTCGGATTCATCCGAACTACATCACACGTTCCGTAGTGAGGCGGAACAAAAACGTCCAGCCTGAGAATTGCATAACCCCTCGTGGGAGACAAAGAACACCGACAAAAGTCATGAGTGGCAGGTTGTCATGGACAGGGGGTCGCCTCGAAACTCTCGATGGGGGGACATTGCCTGAAAACAATGGGTCGGATGTAAGGGGGGCATAGTCGTCCAACCACGGGCATTGCAAAAGACATCTACTATTGCCTTCATCCTGAGCTCGGATGAATCCAAACTCCATCCGGAACAAGTTGCACGAACAACACTCTCTCACTCCCGCTGCAATCCCGCGCACGCCTCCCTAAGCTGCTCCGGAACACGCGGCTGCCATTAATTGGAATCGAAATGTGATTGGCGTGGATCGAGAGCTGATCGTTCCACGAGGCCATTGGTGCGTTCATTCAGCTCAGATTTCGAGACTGTATATGGCGTCTCGCGCCCGGTTGCGTGGCGGTTCCTCACTGCTAGCTGCGTGTGCGAGAACGGTTGATGAGACAGGGAGCGTTCAAGACAACAAAAAAAAGATCGTGATGTCGTCCACAACCGCAATGGACATGTTCAATCACAGAGTCCATCGGAAACGAACTCAAAGTTGGCCCTTGGCGGTGGGGTGTTGCGGGATCGGTGGTAATCTGGGATGTTTCGGATTCGCCATAGGTATCCGTTGTGCGCAACGGGTCGTCGCTGAACGTTGTGGATGGGTGGCTTTGCCACTGTTGGCTGTGCGTGCGACACGTGCGATTCCTGTTGGAGGTGCGCGTTTGTCGTGAGGCTTCCTGTTGGACATGGGATGATGTGATCAGCGCTGCGACAACACATCATCCAATAGACGTCAACACTGAAGATGGATGGACGGGATCAGAAAGTCGATCGACACGCGTTTTTTCAGATGACGTCTCCGGTGTTGACATCTATCGGATGCTGTGTTGTCGCAGCGCTGATCACATATCGCGATGTTGAGGACGCCAGGGAGCAACGGCGATGAAACTTCGTCCACGCGTCAGATGCGGTCGTCGCAGGCGTCCGACGATCTTGACTGCGAAAGCCGCAAGCCGTTTCGAATTCCAGACGTCATGCGCAAGATGGTGACGTCAGCGTGTGTCAGTGGAAGGAAACTTTCGTGGTTGTGAGCTGCGGACATCGCGGACTCAAGATCGCGCGCATGTCGACTCGTGCGTGATTGACGGAGCAGGCGGTGATGTAGAAGAAGACTCACACGACCGACTGCATTGTGATATCCTGAGTAGACTAGGCGGAAGAAGACCCGCGAGCCAGGGTCCAAGAAAGTGTACCAACAAGCGATGTTGAGGACACCAAGAATCGACACGCGTCAGATGCGGTCGTCGGAGGGCGCCAAGAATTGAGGGCGATGTTGAAGACGCCAACAAGCGATGTTGAGGACGCCAACAAGCGATGTTGAGGACGCCAAGACTCGAAGGCGATGACTGTGAAAGCCACAAGCCATTGCCAGTCGCTGATGTCATGCGCAAGATGATGACGTTTGCGTGTGTCACTGTATTGGGTCTTCCGTGGTTGTGATCGGTGGGTGTCGTGCGGTCAAGATCGTGCGAGCAGGTGGTGGCAGAGAACAAGACGTGCACGGTCGAAGGAGCGGAAGGGCAATGGGAAGAGGTGGATACATCCGCGCGGGGCCCAAGAAACGAAAGTGGGAGGGAAAGTTCACACGGGATGATGCATTGGAACCGTCGATATCACGGTAAAATCCGCGCGGGCCCCGATAATCAAAAGTGGGCGGAAAGGTTTGCGCCAGATGATGCGTTGGAACCGTCGATAGCACGGTGAAAAAAGGCCAGTCCTCTCAAAATCATGGCCCGCCCTCCCGCAACGGTTTCGGATCGGGCGATTTCATGAGGACGGTCCGTCAAAAAAGGGATCGCCTGATGTCACAGCCCCTGACGCGGCAGTCCGTCGTTACTGACCCTGCGGCGGGCAGCTGAAGGGCCCCTCAAGCCCCACTCACTCCACTCACCGTTCTCTTGTCGGGCACCAAACGTATGGGGGTGGCTGTCACACCCATTCGCTGGTGTCATTTCTTCCGTGTGTTGCCTTTGCGACGCGTCCGCCATCGCTCGAAGTCGCCGGCATCATATCGCAGGCCCCTTGCGCAACCAGGCCCTCGTTCTTCCAGCAATCGTCGACAGCGGGGGGCACTAACGAAAACGTCACGCGGCTGTAGACCTTGCGCGTCGTCCCATTCGCGCTGTGCTCTTCTTGTGTCGGCTGGAGGCGTTTGTTGACTCGCAGGTCAGTAAGATGCCAACTCCACATTCTTCAGGTAAAAGAGGCAACGGTTCGAAGAGTTCAAGGACAAAGGTCTCGACGACAAGCTTTGGAATGAGAGCAGGAAATTTTTCACGGACTCCACGTACGTCAATAAGTGCCCTAAGTTTTTCGGGTGTCAACACGACAACAACATCAAGAGAACGACGACCCTCATCAACAACCAGCATTTCCCCGCGAAGTGGAAGCGTGTCGTCCTTTCGGTGATTACGGGAGATCGCGCCAAAGGCAAAAAAAATCCTCGGGGCGTTGATGAATGCATCAACATTATGTGGACGAGGACAAGCGTCTTGACGACGCTGGCCCAGTTTAACGTCGACCCATTGAGTGCCATAGATCATAAGGAGGCGCTGGGAAAACTAGGGCATCAGCTACGCTCCCACACTTGCGTGCTCGACTTGTGCGGAACTGTGGACTGTGCGCAATGAGACTCTGGGGCATTCGCGTCTCTGAGTGAGTTGCTGGGCTTCGTTTGTTAGGACTACTGGACATTGGTAGTATTCGTTCCCTGCCTGTGGAACCTCTCCTTCATGACATCTGTGTCTGCGCTTGGGGCTACCCGATGCTACACGGGGAAGTGGGTTCGGAAGACAACGGCGAAGAAGACGCATCAGTTCGGAAACAGCGTCTGGGAGGAGCCGGATGTGATGCACATCCTTTTCAAAGGCGAAGATCCTCGGCTACTGACTCACCCGGTGTACAAGGGAGCTGTTGCTGAAGACGACGTCGCCGCTCTCCGTAGAAAACAGAAAGTGACACCCACGGATGTGGAGGAGAAGTCTTTCAAGTCCTTGACTTTTGTGGACATCGGAAACCTCACCCAGAGGGGGGCTCTGTACAAGGACGACGAGCGGAATCCGAATCAGTTATGCAATCAGCTTCTTTTCTTCTGTGGTATGGCGGATGCCGTGCTCTTCTTGGGCAAGCCGCACGAGCAAGTGGTGTGGAGTCTGCTTCAGCAGGAAAGGCGCGTCTTGGCCGTGGATGGGGACACAACGCAGCTCGAATACACCGTGCAATATGTCACCCATGAAGTTTCGTCCAAGGCTTACCCATGCGATTTCGACCAAGTCGTGGTCGAGCTCGTTTATGACCCGAACAAAAACATGTTCTTCAAGTTGACTCCGAAGAAAAGGCGCCAGGTCTACTCCTTCCTTTATGGCGAACAACCAAGGTTGAGATTTGACCCGCAATACGGGGTGCGGAAGGAAGTCGCCATTGCGGTTCTCCAGGGCTACCACGGAGCGAGTCGGGCCGGCGCTGTGAGCTTTATTAAGAGGCTGGAATATGTGTTTGTTAACGAGAATGTCGTCGATCCGGCCGATTTCACTTTGGATAACTACAAGCTAGCATTCGGTGAGGAGGACGACTTCAATATCGAGACTGAGCAGGAGGAGAGCATTGAGGGCGACCTCTTCGATTTGGACGGGCAATTGGCCATCTTCAACGCCCAAGCTTCTGAGTCGCCGTCAGTATGCAAACCGGGGACACCTCTCGCTACACCCACCTCGGGCGGCCCCACGCCAGTGTCCTCCTCAGCGCCTGTCAAGAGGGGTGGGTTGTCCCGTCTGAGGAGTTCGCCGGGGGAGCCTATTCGTCTCACACCGCAGCCCGAGCGTCTTCGACCCGGCCATCCAGTTCGTCCGGACCATCCGCATCTCAAGGCTCCAGCGACTCCCTTCCACATGGGTGACAAACATACCTTCTCCACAGCCGAAGATTGGGGTCATGATATCGTGTGGCACCCAGACCATTTCCAGCCTGTCCTTCTTGACGGCGAATGGGCAGTGGCTGTGAGGGACGTAAGTGGAGGGTGGATATATGACGATTGTTGGGACCTCGAGACATTCAAATCTCGCACCTTCGATGCGGTTTTGGAGAGATTAAGTGAGGTCAATCGACGACGTAAAGACGACCCTGCTCTGCGCGAATACGGGGACACGCTGTTCGATTTATTGCAGTCAAATAGATGGCTGGAAGTGTCCTCCGCGTTCTACGCCCTTCCGTCAAGCCCGTCAATTAAGCAAGTGAGTTGGGAGTTGCCTGCGGGCACCCCGCCGGCAGGAGTTGTGAAGCGCAAGTCTCGCGGAAAGGACGGCGACGGGGATGGTGAAGGCGGCGGGCAACGAGGTACTGGAGGTGGAAGTGAACAACGTTCAAAGAAACAACGGTCTCCGGGGCTTGCAAGCGGCGGAGAGGGAAAAAAGGGCAGCCGGGAGAAGAAAAAGCCTCGCAGCGGAGAGAACACAAAGCATCGCACAGGAGACGAGCAGGGGTCCGATGTCGACCGCGACGAGGACGGTGGGGTTCTGGCGGTGACAGGCAGCACCTCAATGGAGACGGGGAACGACTTCAGGCCTGGGTGGATTACACGGCCTGGCGAGCAGGACCCTGTGATTAGCTCCACCAGCGCAACACAATATACCGATGCTGTTGGCGGGGCAGTTGTAGCAAAGAATGGAACTTGCTTCGCTCAGCTCCAAAAACGGTTGGCCGATTGTCTCGGATATATCCGAACCTCGGAGACGACATCGTCGTCCGGAACTCAGTGCCTTCCGGGAAGCGAGGCGACAACATACCACGGATCCGGACAGCGACAAGCTCCAACCATGTTCGGTTTTGCCTCAAAAGGAAGTTCGGATTAATCCGAACCCGGAAGCCAGTACCGTTGAGAGAGCACAGCGGTCTGCGGAACTCGAACGGGTGGTCCGGGTTTCCGAAAACCCTGGCGGCGAAATTCGGATTCATCCGAACCAGGAGGACGTGTCCGCCATGACAGACGACCGGTGTCAGGACACCGTCATGCTGTGCATGGAAGTCCACAAGGAGCTGCAGGCAGACCGTCCGACTGAGGGTGAGTTAGCGACCAGTTTCAATGTCGAGCCCCTCACACTCGGAGCCGAATGCCTGGTGACGGTACGCGCAGAGTTAGCAGTCTTAAGCGACTCTCCGGTGAAAGCGGGCACGTCGTCGCCGTTGGAAACTTTGGTGGCTCGGATGAATCCGAACCAGGGCCCTGTGAGCATGTCCCTCCCTGGTGCAGCTTTGGAGACGACTGTAATTCGGATTCATCCGAGACACACAGGCAAAGGACTTGACGGTTGTCGACTTCTGACGACTTTGGACAAGGACGACTCCGCCGACGACCGGATTGATCCGACACTCGGCGACGTCGGGATGGAGCAAACAGTCCAGCCGGCATACGACGACCCCTTGTACTCCGGCCTTCACGACGAGGAGATGGGAGAGGACGTTCTGAAGAAGTCCTCTAGCGCTGTTGGAGATAGATTTCTCTATTTGAGTGACGACGATAAAGACACAGCACACGAGGACAAGAAGTTAAGGGGGGGAGAGGTGTTGTTGGACATCCATGGGACCTTGAGCACAACACAATGCGACACAGTGGCGACGGAGGAAACCCAACCTGTCGAGGTTGTGGACGTCGATGCTCTTTGTCCGGAGACGGACATACTAAAATTGCCCGTCATGGACGTGGAGGATTTCCGCCATCGGGATGGGGATGAATTCATGCCATCGCCGGTCATCGACGCCGACATCTCGAACCTCTCAAGTTTCCCTATGAGTTTGGAGCACGTCGTCGCCGCGTCGACGCGCAAGGGGGCGCCAATCGTGTTGGGGCTGCCATCGGTGGGCTCTGGTGACGTCAAAGCTAAGCCTGGTGAGCACTGTCTTCCTTTGCTTGCTTCCCGTTCGTCAGCCCGTCCGTGAAGTGTTGTTTGCTTCGTCAATTTCGGGGAGGTGTGTACGCGGCCGCCAACTGGATTTGACGATGTGCTTCGTGAGGTGCTGTTTGCTTGGTTGCTCTTGCGAAGTTGTGTTGTTGATCTCCTGCTGAACTGTCTGGGTGACTATTTCTTGTACAGGTCGAGGAGCTCGTGGACAAACACACATGTCGCAGGAGCCGCCTGCCCTCGCCAGGTTGTTAGTCCTAGTTGCGGGAGGCACTGGTCGTCGCAATGTCACTGATTCGTTTTCTAGGGAGACTAAACCTCAGGGCCCTCCCAGAAGGGTTGTCGTGCCCGTATTGGGCCCTCGCGCTAGACTCGTTGCAGAGGCAGCGGGTGTTGCTGAAAAAGACTGCAAGGAATTCCTTCTCGAGGCTTGCAGGGATATAAAGAAGGACAGTGCTAGTTTAGAATCAGCTGTGTGTGGAAGGTCCAAAAGTAGGGGTGACGTTATGCGTGAACTTTTCGGGCCACAGAGTAGCGGTTCTTCGGACCATGGAAGCTAGGACGACATTTTCTCATAGTGCCCCATCCTTTGTGCTTGCTGTGTGCTGCGGGTGTTTGTTGAACAGGGTTTCCTCGAGACGGAAGAGCAGTCCTTGAAGACGTTATCTGCTCCCGGTTGCCGCTCACTATGATCGTCGCGCGTTTACCGTCGCACAATTTACAGGTTTCCGTCAAGGATATCGTCGCACGCGTGGATGGATCCGGGGAGCTCAACGATGAGGTCGTCAATTTCTACATGGCGATGCTACTGGACGACTGCGGCCGGACTGCTGCTACCAAGAAGACGTACACCTTTAACTCTTTCTTCGCCTCTACACTGCTTTTGCGAGGTTCAGAAGCTGTTTGCAGATGGGCTTAAGATGTGGACCTCCTGTCTCATGACCTCGTCTTGGCACCAGTGCACAAGGACGGAGAACACTGGAGCCTTTTGGCCATTGACTTCTCTAGACGTGTTTTGGAAATCTATGATTCTTTCGCGTGTTCGTCATCCAAAGATGACTTCTACTCCGTACTTTTAGATAAATCTGTTAAATTTTTGAACACGGTGGCAGGTGCCGCCGGTGATAGTCGCACTTTGACCACTTCGCTCGCGAGGTCAGCGTGAAAGGTGTCCCTCTGCAGCACGACGGGGCTTTTTGCGGGGTGTTCATGTTGATGTTCGCTTCCTGTTTGGCGAGAGGTTTACGTCCACCTTTTGGTTTCTCCCATAGACACATCTCCTCTATCAGAGCTAGACCAGCTTTGGCGATTTGCGATGTTGGTAGGTAAGCGTTTATCTTTTTGCTGATCATGTAGTGTAGAAGGGTTGACTTAGAAGAACGAACTCCGGACGAAATTTGTTCCTTTTCATTTTTTCCGAGAGAGACTGGTGGGTGTTCTCGGTTTGGTTCAGAGCAGAACTGGCTGTCACTGCCAGGATATCTCCGGGTGAAATTGTTATGTCCCCGGCGTGTTTGTCGTCGACAATATTGTTCTTTCTCATTCGCTTTCAATTCTCGCGAACGTCCCCATTGTTGGGGTGCCTGTTTCGTGATTGGCTTTCTCACTTTCGTCATTTTGTGTCTTGTGTGGAGTGATGTTCTGCCCGCATACTCGGATGCATCCGAACTCGAACTATCTCTATGGTTTTCCGCCTCTCTCTTGAACCTTCCCCGTCGTCTACACTTATCTATGCATTTTCACTTTGAATGCCGTGAGGCATCGCAGAGAAGAAAATACAACACAAGGGCCTCTTTATACATTGATGGCCTGTCTGACCCTCCGCGCTGGGTGCTTTTTGGTTCCAACGTTGAATGTTGTCAATTATTTGGCCCATCAAAGCTCCCCGTCTGCACGAGCATTCATACATCCGGTTCCTATTCCATTAGACAATACACTGAAAAATTTGAATGCGTCGAGGGAAGGAAAACCCGAAAGGCGACGCCAATGAGTGCTCCAATGTGACGAAATTTGAATTAGGGTAGCATGGCTGAAAGAAACAGTTGCATGATTGGGCAAAATTTGATGCAAACAACCACCATAAATTCTATGAAAAATAGAGAACGGCTGGCCAGAGAGAATCCTGACCAACCCCCAAAGAATATGTCGATGAGGGGCCGATTTTTGACATTGTCTGTTACTATCTTGCCTTTCTTTCACTGTCTTTTTTTTCTTTCTTTCTTTTTCCGTCTTTAGCGTTTGCACATCATGATTCTCGTTCTCCGAAATCATTACCATACGCATCCCAAATGACAAAACCGAAACAACATCACAATCGTTGCATTGTGAGAAAACCGCGTAGAAAGCCATTAGAAAAACTCAATTTTATCGATCAAACGAATACAGTTCATGTAACATAACCGAATACAGTCCATATCAATCGCCCAAAGCCAGAGCACAATGGGATCCGCAATGTTAACCATAGTATGGAACTAAAAACAACCTTATCGAAGAACATTATCATCGTCACTGACAAAGAGTAGAGAGTTATGTTGACCGGTGACACCGCCCTCAGAGCTCTGTCTGTCTGTCTGTCTGTCTGTCTGTCTGTCTGTCTGTCTGTCTGTCGGTCGGTCGGTCGGTCGGTCGGTCGGTCGGTCGGTCGGTCGGTCGGTCGGTAGGTCGGTAGGTCGGTCTGTCCGTCGGTCGGTCGGTCGGTCCGTCTGTCGGTCTATCGGTCTGTCTGTTTGTCTGTCTGTCTATCTATCTATCTATCTCCGCAGTCCCAAAATCACACACATGTATTATTTGTTTATTGGATTGCTCTCGGTTTTATTCTGAAAACCCTACGCACTCACTCGACAGTTCTCGCATGCCTATATGGAAAAGATAAGAACCAAGAACCGGCCCGTAAAGATACTGCAATGACAACAGAGCGCACGACTGATATAAGCACAATCCGATTTAGATGCACTCTCTCTCTCTCTCTTTGTGTATCTATCTATCTATCTATCTATCTACTATCTATCTATCTATCTATCTATCTATCTACCTATCTATCTATCTATCTATCTATCTCCGGAGTCCCAAAATCACACACATGTATTATTTGTTTATTGGATTGCTTTCAGTTTTATTATGAAAACCCTACGCATTCACTCGGCAGTTCTCGCATGCCTATATGGCAAAGATCAGAACCAAGAACCGGCCCGTCAAGATACTGCAATGACAGCACAACGCACGACTGATATAACCACAATCCGATTCAGATGCACTCAGTGCATCCGAATCCGATTGTGGTTATATCAGTCGTGCGCTTAGTCAACCAAGGTGACAACCGGCAACAAACTTCATCTGAGCTCTCTCTCTCTCTCTAATGTTGACCGCTGACACCGCCCTCAGCTCTCTCTCTCTCTCTCTCTCTTATGTTGACCGCTGACACCGCCCTCAGCTCTCTCTCTCTCTCTCTCT